TATAAAACGTATCTTCACTGACACACTACAACAGCACAGCTGCAGCATTTTAACTGTAGACAAGCCCTAAATTCCTCATGGGGGCTTAAAGTGGCATAACTACACTTCTCTAAATTCACACCATTACTTAATTCGGATTAATTTTTCTGACTGTCCCCATTGTAGACAAGCATATGAGACAAGTTCTATGCTCACCATAGCTCCCATTGGGGCAGTACAGCTCCTCATCACTTTTACACTCATCTCCAGGAAAGTGCCACCATTAGCCTTGGCATGTAGGCTGCTACATTTAATATTGCTTTGCACTAGCATGTGCAGACACACACACACAATCATGAAGAACCTTACTGGTCCTTAGCCTAGACTCTGCAATAATAATATTAATAACACAAATGTATAATTATCATCTGCTACCAGTAAAATGAAAAGGTGCGAGCAAGTCTCCACTGCATCAGGGAGATAAATGAAAAGCTGACTTGCAGAACAAATCATGTGTTGGCATCCACAGTTAATTTAGATAGCTGCTTTGGCCTACTCTAAATGTAAGGGACATTATAGGGGTGCACATGTGCTATTCTAATTAAGATTGAACAAGCAGTTCTGTGACAAGCACTTAATGTAATTTCAAGGGTTTATAGCAGCAATGGGAAACCTAGAGTAGTGCATGGGCCACATGAGTCGCCCCCCTTCATCTCACTCACTAGGCCTCAAGATTGTCTTAATCAAGACAGACTCTTGGGATAGCTTTGCTAACAGTACCGGTGTACCTAGAATTTGTGGGGTGTGCTGATTAAATCATAGCAATGTTTTGACTGAATGCAAAGGGAGTACGCGGCTCTCACGGTCAATGTGTGCAATCAGGAAGCACCTCACTTCATGTGCCCTGGCTTTATGTGCATGTCACTTCAGTAATATCTGTAGGAAAAAACCCGATGTGGATGGAAATCAGTGGAATCTGGCAACCCTGCGAATGAGCAACAGTAAACAAAATGTCTCACGTGCCACAATAGAACTTTGATGAGCTGCATGTGGCCCACTGGCTACAGGTTGCCCACCACTGGTTTAGAGCATTAACTATCATTCTGGGTTGAAACCTGCAATCGAAGGTCTCAACAGAGGAACAAAATATGAGCAAGTTAAAACAAAAATCATTTTGCAATTCGGTGGAGTAAATCCATGATTCGGCACTAAGGAGAACTATTTGCTCAGGCCAATGGGTCAACAAGTCTGCTTCTTCCTGGTTACACAGGGAAAGGAAAAAGGCAAATACATAGGCAAGGATGTTACAGATGAGGGAAGTGTTTGCATTTTGACACAGGCTAATTACAATGGAGCAAGACAATGCCTTATTAACAGACATGCCCCAGACAACCCACTGCACAGGTCTGCACAGAGCCTGGGTCTCCTTGGAAGTAGCTAGTTTGAGCAACAAAATCATAGACCCGATATGTTGTGTTGTGGGTTGGGGGGCAAATGAACTCTGCAGAGTGGTGGCTAAAATAAATGCAGTATTGTCAACTTCAAGCATCCAAAATAATGAGATTGGCTCCCAAAATAATGAGATTCAAAATAATTAATTATAAGATATTTTTCTTTATCTTCCTTCTGATTTTTAAGCCTCTGTGGCACACTTGTGCCAAGTTTCATTTTTTTAATACAACCACAAGGGATATAAACATATTTTTAAACGAAAATAGAGATTTTTATGTAATCACCTGTCTTCAGGAGCAGGACTTTGAGAAAAATTCCAAATATTGTAATAATTGATAAACTGTGAGAATTAGCAACACAAGTTGATGACATAATTCATTTAGTCATTTCAAATTATGCTAGTGCAAGAGAAAACACAAAAATTAAAAAATATTTTAGTCACTTAGGGTGTCTACACTGCACCTGTAGCTTGAAATAAGCTATGCAATTTGAGCTACGCAAATTGTATAGCTTATTTCGAGTTAATTTCGAAATAAAGCACTATTCCAAAACAACTCTTACTCCTCATGGAATGAAGTTTACAGGGATGTCGGAATAACGAGCCCGTTATATTTTGAAATATCAGGCTTGCTCAAAATACACAGAATAGCTATTTAGGGATACCGGAAGTATCCTACAATTGCTCTGCAGTGTAGATGTAGCCTTAGATTATGTCTACACAGCAAGGCTAAAGTCGAATTAAGCTATACAACTTTAGCTATGTCAATTGCGTAGTTTAAGTTGAAATAGCTTAATTCAGCTTTTTGTGCTGTTTTATACAGCAGGAAGTCGAAGGAAGAACACTCTTCCTTCAACTTCCCTTACTTCTCGAGAGATGAGGGTTACGTGAGTCGGAGTAAGAATTCCTTCAGTTCGACATTATTTCAGAATGAAGGGTTGGAGTGTAGACACGCATTTTGTTATTTCAGAACAACATCAGTTATTCCAAAATAATGCAGTGTAGACGTACTGTTAGACATTTCTGAGCACCTACGAACAATTATTAAAAGAAAAAAAAGTATGCAATTAATTCAAGATATGACCAACAAATCTTTACTTTATATGACAGGCACAAAGAAAGATTAGGGATAATCTTGCATACATTCATGTATGTAACTTTATTCCTGCAATACTGCTATTTTCATAATTGACAGCTCACATGAGTTTGGCTACTCATGGAGAGAAATGTTTGCAAATTCTGGTCCCTTTTTTCATTAAACTTTTGACTCCATAACTAACATGTTACTCTTGTTTGCTTTTACATATACAGGTTATATGGAACATTCTTTAATCCTTGGTTTTATACTATGGTTTTAGGCTATGGATCATTTATTTTCCCAGATAAGCTTTTACCAGACTATTTTTCATCAGGACCCTTTCTCTGTGGTGTATATTCTTAGCAGTATACAATACTACAGTTTTGAGGACTGAGAAATGAGGAAAAAGCATGAGGGAATGTGAGGAGTCCAAGAACACAGAACAGGATAGAAAAAAACAAGAAGAGTGAAGTGGAAATAAGAAAGAGAAACAGTGTGTTACAGTAGATTTAGGGAAAAGTGACAATGATACAGAGAAGAGAGACTAAGAAGAGTTCAGCTGTGACTCAAAAATAAAATATTAATGCGTACCTTTGTGATATACAAACATAGGTGCATTTACCATGTGAATACTCTTTTCCAGAATACAACATATTTCAACAGATGAATTAATAGCTTGAATTAACAAAATATGAAAATTGACTCTTACTCCTCATGGAATGAAGTTTACAGGGATGTCGGAATAACGAGCCCGTTATATTTTGAAATATCAGGCTTGCTCAAAATACACAGAATAGCTATTTAGGGATACCGGAAGTATCCTACAATTGCTCTGCAGTGTAGATGTAGCCTTAGATTATGTCTACACAGCAAGGCTAAAGTCGAATTAAGCTATACAACTTTAGCTATGTCAATTGCGTAGTTTAAGTTGAAATAGCTTAATTCAGCTTTTTGTGCTGTTTTATACAGCAGGAAGTCGAAGGAAGAACACTCTTCCTTCAACTTCCCTTACTTCTCGAGAGATGAGGGTTACGTGAGTCGGAGTAAGAATTCCTTCAGTTCGACATTATTTCAGAATAAAGGGTTGGAGTGTAGACACGCATTTTGTTATTTCAGAACAACATCAGTTATTCCAAAATAATGCAGTGTAGACGTACTGTTAGACATTTCTGAGCACCTACGAACAATTATTAAAAGAAAAAAAAGTATGCAATTAATTCAAGATATGACCAACAAATCTTTACTTTATATGACAGGCACAAAGAAAGATTAGGGATAATCTTGCATACATTCATGTATGTAACTTTATTCCTGCAATACTGCTATTTTCATAATTGACAGCTCACATGAGTTTGGCTACTCATGGAGAGAAATGTTTGCAAATTCTGGTCCCTTTTTTCATTAAACTTTTGACTCCATAACTAACATGTTACTCTTGTTTGCTTTTACATATACAGGTTATATGGAACATTCTTTAATCCTTGGTTTTATACTATGGTTTTAGGCTATGGATCATTTATTTTCCCAGATAAGCTTTTACCAGACTATTTTTCATCAGGACCCTTTCTCTGTGGTGTATATTCTTAGCAGTATACAATACTACAGTTTTGAGGACTGAGAAATGAGGAAAAAGCATGAGGGAATGTGAGGAGTCCAAGAACACAGAACAGGATAGAAAAAAACAAGAAGAGTGAAGTGGAAATAAGAAAGAGAAACAGTGTGTTACAGTAGATTTAGGGAAAAGTGACAATGATACAGAGAAGAGAGACTAAGAAGAGTTCAGCTGTGACTCAAAAATAAAATATTAATGCGTACCTTTGTGATATACAAACATAGGTGCATTTACCATGTGAATACTCTTTTCCAGAATACAACATATTTCAACAGATGAATTAATAGCTTGAATTAACAAAATATGAAAATTGGTGATAATGTATGTGAAGTTACAAGTTTTATAACTGTTTTAATAGACAAACCCATATACACATGCTTCATAAGCTTGAAAAGATCTGATTTTATATTTTATAAATCTGAATGAAAAATACCAAGTTGATAAAAATATTTGTAAATTTTTGCATTAGCAGTGACATTTTAAAAACAGCATGTTCATTGTACTGAAAATACTGTCAACATTCATATTAAATTAATACACTTTGATAATATGCAATTCATATTAACTGAAAGAACAAAAACAACTACTAATACAACTGTGCAGCAACTAACATATATGTAAATTTTCCTCTGTTCATTTCAGTTAATCAACAAAGACAAAACATTTATTGTTATTTTTGGGTGGAAGGAGAAATAAATAATTGCTGACATTTATAGATTAAAATTGATGCTTTCGAAGCTTAGATACATAATGAATGACATTTACGTGAGGGAACTTAGCATTTCAACATTGTATATTTTACAGGGTCTAATAGGGTCAACAATATTGCATAATGGTTAAAAAATATATATGTACATATACACACATATAAACTTACTCACCCAACAGACAGGAAAGGTTCCTTTGAATCAAGTCTGTTAAGAAAATAACAGATATGTAAATATAAACACATATAATTTATAACATTTAAATTATGGAATTAAAAGGCTCCATTGGATCTACTGCACTTTTTTTTTTTTGGTGATAATGCACAATTTGGCAGCTATACCAGAACATCAAGGGCTTGATCCAACTTACAATGACTTCAGTTGGCATTGGAGCACAATGTTTATACAGCAGCAAACCTCAGGCCTGATTCAAACTAAACTAACTTCAGGGTGCATTTCTCAGGAAGGCCACTTGTCTTTTCAACCCTTTCATATGTTTCCACTTTATGCTCCCTATTTGCATGGGAAGTCTCTCTCCTATGCTCCAGTTAAGCATGTTCTAAATTTTAATATTAAAATTAAGCATATATTTAATTTAGGTTTAGGGATGTAAACGACTAGTCGAGGGACCAAACAAATTCTACTATAACATTTGTCAGTGACTTTTTAATGAGAGTGATAACCAAACAGAAATGGTGGCATGTGTCTGGAATTTTCACTACCACAAAACCCCATAAAAAAAATCACACTAAACAAAAATTCTGCAAAATAATGGATTTAAAAAGTCCCCACCCCACAATTTTATGATGTAGAAAATATAGTAAAATTTATTCAAAACAAAATTATATTTAGTACAAACATTTATAATAATGTTACCAAAGTTTGTTTTAAAAGATGTATTCCTCATAGCACTTTCTAAAGACAGTCAAGTATTACTTTTACTTCAAGTATTATGTCCACTTTTAATAATGTTCCTCAACTTTTGCAAAGCACTTAATTCTCAGGAAGAGGTTTTTAAGATTACTGGTGGGAATGCTTAAGTGTCTATCTTGCTCTTGACACTTAGATGCATTATACCTGAAATATAGTTTCCTGGGACTGAAACCGGAGATTTTTATGCAATTTTTACCCATTTGCCTTAAGTAAGGGTTGAGTAAATGCCAGAAAACCTTCACAATGTACTTTCTGTGCACATTTCTTCCTCCTTTCCAGCACTTAAGAATAGAGTCATCTATCTCCATGGTAGTGTATTGCACTTTTCAGGTCTCTTTGGGGTTGGGATTCATTGTAGAGGGAGGAAGAAGGCACTGAGTGACCCTCTGTTGATGTATTTTTGAGTAGATATATCATATCCCAGGAAAGGTACTACAGCCTAACCCTATATATATATATTACTTTTACTGCAGAACACCTGGACAGTCACTAGTCATGTAATTCTATGCCAAATTGGCATGAACTAGGATGAGCACTGGGGGCCTCCAAATAAATGGCCTTGGCTTCCTCCTATAGCATCTGTATTTTGGGGGCGTGGTCCATCTGTATGGTGCAGTTCTATTCCCATTGATAATAACACAGATAGAAGCTCTGATGATTTCACCGTTTCCCTTTTCCTTATCATCCCTCTGGAGGGTTTTACCACAAGAGGGGGGTTATCCACCCTCATAAGAATCTCAATATTTTGCCTCTGATATTTTCTTCAGAGCTATAAAGAAGAAAGAGAACTGAAAGCACGGCTGTGTTTTTGTGCAGTCTTACAGCACCAATTTTGTCATGAGAAGAGCTATGGCACATCAGTGTTCCAATGAGGGACATAAATCTGATGAGTACAATATTTGATGCAACACTCTCTGGATAAAATACTGCAATTAAAATCTATTTCAAATTAATTCTCAAGATGGAATTCAATTGTCTTTAAACTATGCTGGCCTAAGTTTGACTCCCTCTATATATTTGACTCTTAAGTAATATGCAGCATTATTTTAAATTAGCTGAAATGTTCCAAGTACTAAGGGAATATAATGATCCATCGGCCTTTTATTTAAACTGCTAGTTCACAGCATACCAAATTAATATAAAGGATTTAAAACTGCAACTCCATGTAAAAGAATATACTACATCTCCTTCAGTGGCAGTATTTATCTATCCATATTATCAATTAAAGATGTTAAGAAGCGGGTAATCGACTAATGGTATAGTCAATACAATTAATATCAACTATACGATTAGTCAATAGGGGAAGGCGGGGTCCTGGACCTACCCCCGTTGTTTAAATGTAGTAGGAGCTGGGCATGCAGGCAGCCTGGCTCCTACTACATTTAAACTGCAGAGCCACGGTGGGGTTTGGTCTAGGACCTGGCACAAGCCGAGACTACTCTACTTTGTAGCTCCCCCCCCCCCCAGAGACACACGGGAGGACATATCCTGGTAGGACATATCCTTGGACCAAACCCAGTCTCTTTCTAGTCCTGAACTTGGGAGTTGGTTGTGGGCAGAACCCAGGCCCGTCCTCTACTCCAAGTTCTACTCCAGAGACCCTATAATAGCAGCTATTTGTAATGTTTCTAACAACAGCTGTGTGACAACCACAAATCCCTGGTCCACTTCTCCACAGCCTTCGCCAGCACCTTCCTTACCAGAGTGGACCAAACCCAGTCTCTTTCTAGTCCTGAACTTGGGAGTTGGTTGTGGGCAGAACCCAGGCCCGTCCTCTACTCCAAGTTCTACTCCAGAGACCCTATAATAGCAGCTATTTGTAATGTTTCTAACAACAGCTGTGTGACAACCACAAATCCCTGGTCCACTTCTCCACAGCCTTCGCCAGCACCTTCCTTACCAGAGGTTCTTCCTCTTGGTATCTGCTTGCACTTTTGTCTCCCAGACTGTCCACCACACTTACTCTCATCAGCTCCTTCCTCACACACTGAGCAAACAGAGGGGGAAGCCTTTTTAAACCATTCTCAACTGACTTTTAATTGATCCCCAGGTATTCTAATTAGTCTGGTTTCCTTGAATCTGTAAGCCTCTTAATTGGTTTCAGGTGTTTTAATTGGACTGATTGCTCTGACTGATTCTAGTAGGTTCCTGCTGGTTCTGGATTAGCCCTTTCAGTCTACCCTGGGAACAGAGACCGATTTAATCTGGGGCTCATATATTTTCCCCCCACTACTTTTCTATAGCCCTCTGGCCTGTCTCTGTCACAAATGACATACCGTATATTCCGGCGTACAAGACGACCTCTGATGTTAAAAAACATCCCCCAAATATCGGGGGTCGTCTTGTACGCCGGATGCCCCGCCGCCGCCTTTCAGTCTACCCTGGGAACAGAGACCGATTTAATCTGGGGCTCATATATTTTCCCCCCACTACTTTTCTATAGCCCTCTGGCCTGTCTCTGTCACAAATGACATACCGTATATTCCGGCGTACAAGACGACCTCTGATGTTAAAAAACATCCCCCAAATATCGGGGGTCGTCTTGTACGCCGGATGCCCCGCCGCCGGAGCCCCTCCGCGGCTTTGAAAGCCTCGGGGGAAGC